AACGAGGCACAGCAGTTGAGTCGCTTGCTTGTGTCGTTGACCAGCTATTGTCAGGTTTGAACGTGAGCCTGAGCTGCTCCCACCATATCACAGCACATTTCAATTTCATAGTTGTAGCACTGGAGTCTGCTCTGTTTTTAAAGGTTTGCTTTTCCCCTGTTGCTGTGCTTTTTTTTCCTGCCACTGTTTTCCTGTTGTCCTTTTCCCTGTTTTACTGATATTTATCATTTTAGTGTGTGTCTTAGGATTTGTGTTTCTAAGACAATAATATTTCTGTTGTGGTAAAACAGCATGACTGAAAGTCACTTGGAGGAAATGTTTTATTTCAGCCTATAGTTCACCTTACAGACCATCAGGGGAGGGAGTCGGGGCAGGAACTCAGGGCAGCCACCATGGAGGAGTGCTGCTTCCTGGCTTACTGGTTTCCTCAGTCAGGGACCACTAGCCCAGGGTCGCATTACCCACAATGGCTGGGCCCTCCCGCATTAAGCACTTATTTAAGGGAGTGTCCCATAGATTTGCCTACAGGCCAGTCCTATGGAGTCATTTTCTCAATTAAGATACCCTCTTCCCCAGGCTAAGAAAAACCAAGTAGATCATGAATGTTTGTTTGCAGGTGTGTGCGTGTGTGCGTACACATGTAGAGGACAGAGGAGGTATTGGGTCCCCTGGAGCTGCAGTTAAGAATGATCTGGTCCACGGGTTGTCATGTGGGTCCTGGGAATTGCAGCTTGGTCCCGTGCAAGCACAGCAAGTGATCTTAACTCCCAGTTATCACTCTGACGCCAGCTCTCCTGTTCTTGAATATTATGTGATACAGACTTTGTAGTGCTGTACAAGATATAGGTTGTTGTTATTGTAGGAGGAATTGAGCTATGTTTTTCTCATTTATCAAGGAAAAGAATCTTGGAATAATCAAAATGAAAGGCTCTGCATAGTCTGGGTTTTAGGAGTACAAGTAGCAAGCTCCAAGATTCTCCCAGTTCAGCAGTTTACACATCCTTATGAACTTATCTGAATGGAGTTAGATGTCTCAGTCTCAGTCTTCTCTGCTTCTGTCTGTTTTCCGAGGCAGGGTTTCTGTGTGTGGTTCTGGCTGTCTTGGAACTCACTCACTCTGTAGAGCAGGCTGACCTCAAACCTGGAGACCTGACTTCCACAGCTTCTCAAGTCCTGCAATTAAAGGTGAATGCCACCACAGCCTCAGGTTCTTAATATACATCCGTTTTACTGATTAAAGACATTTACCCTTTCAGCAAATCATGTCTACTTGAATGAACAAACACATACTATCTGCCTCATGCCTGTCAAATCACATGTTTCTTTATGGTAAAGATTTCCTTTTACATTCCTCCCTGCCCCCATACCTCTTTTTTCTTAGTTTTAAAACAAGGTCTTACTATGTAGCCCTGATACTCCTGGAATTCACTACATTACCAGGTTGGCTTCAAACTCACAGAGATGGATTAAAGGTGTGCTCCACCACATGCCTGGCTAATTCTAAATCTTAAAAAAGTTATATTATGACTCCCTGATTTTGTCCTTCTGCTTATATCTTACAGGAATTAAACAAGTGCAGATGTATTGTCTGCTGTGAGCAGGGGGAGTGCAAAGTAAACTCTTTGCAATTTAACTGGAGAGTGAGTAACATACACTGTTAGGTCTCAAACCCTGACCAAAGGCCAAGTGAGGTGCCCTCTAACACACCAGAGCAGACACTGTTCAGATTCTCTCAGCATCCCTCAGTCCAACCTGTTACCTCCTGACTAGCATGCCCTGCCACCCACCCAGACTACTCTATGTAAGCCAGCCGTTTTGGCTATGCTAGCCCGTTTACCTTTTGGCCTCTTAGCCTCCTGGCTCTCCTGCTTCTCTCTCCCCTCTTCCATCTCCCATGGCCCAGTCAGCCTGCTGTGCTGGCTCTATGTCTCTAGGTACTTTTCCAGGCGTCTCGGCCTCTCCCTCTTTTCTACAGTGAGCCTTCTCCACCACGCCCCTTGGATGTATCAGAGTTTGCATTCATCCACTGAAGGATATCTTGATTGCTTCCTTCTGTTTTGGGTAATTATGAATGAACCTGGTGTAACCTTTATGTATGTGTTTTTGTGTAGACCTAAGTTTTTAGTTTTTTGGATAAAAACTAGGCAGTGAAATTTATTGACTCATAAAATCATGTGTGGTATTATAAGAAAACACCCACATGTCTTCCTGCATTCTCACTAGCAACCAATGAGAATTCCCATTGTTCCACTTGCTTACTTACTAGTGTTTAACAGGACTGTCAATGTTCTTCTGGATTTTGGCCAATTTAATAGTTACATAGTGACATCTTGTAGTTCGAAGTTCTAGAGACACATGGTGTGAAGCATATCTTTGCATGCATATATTTTATTTTATTGTGTTTTGAGACACGGTTTCTCGAGAGAGGGTTTCTCTATGTAGCCTTGGCTGTCCTGGAACTCTCTATAGACTATACTGACCTTGAGTTCAGAGATCCTCCTCCTCCTTCCCCAGTGCTGGGATTAAAGTCGTGTGCCACCCCTACTCAGCCTTCTGTATATTTCTATTGTGAGTCTTTGACCCGTCCTTACCCAGTCTGGCCTTGTTGCCCGTCTTTAGAGGAGTCCGTGTTGACTGATAGTAACTGATGGTTGTTTCTCCCTTGTGGTTTGTGTTTCGGAGTCTCGTGTCTTGAAGACTAATGAATGTAGCTAACCAGTTTTCCCTTTAGCGCGTTGCCTCTGGGGTATCGCTGGCTCACTTCGTGTAGCTCTTCAGTGTGTCCTGGAGTTTCAGCAGCTTCTGCTCTGGTTTGAGCATGACTAGCCGCTATCTGCTGAGAGTACTCCTTCCCCATGACTTTAACTCCGTGCCAGACACCAGCTGCTGTAAGGTGGGTGTGCTGCTGAGTGCCAGGTTTGTTTTTCTGATCTTTTCTTCTGCCAGTAACTGTCTTGATACCTTTTAACACTTTCTAAATAAAATTGTACTTATGCTGTTTGGGTTTTCAAACCATGTTGTTCTTACAGTAGAATATTTGGTGCTGTCATTCTAAGGCATATGATGAGAAGACAAGTTAGAAAATTTACTCTAAAGTTTAGATTAGACTGTGGAAAATAAAACTGTACTTTTTTTTTTTTTTTGAAGACAGACTTACTGTGCGGACCAGGCTGGCCTTGAACTCACTTAGGTCTGCTTGCCTCATGCCTCTAATCAAGACCAGGAGGGGTCTGAAAGCTTGATGGTCACCAAGCTTGCAGCAATTAACTTTGAACTTCTGTGTTTTGAGCATGTAGTCTCACTTTATCAAAGCTGTGCCGTGGTGGAGAACTGAAATTTGAAGGAGGCAGTCAAGGTTGAATTTTCAGTTTCTCAGTAGTAGTGAGATACTCACAGACTCGATGGCCGAGTTCAGTCACCAGAGCGCATGTGAAAGGTAGGTAAGGAGAGAAGTGACTCGGCAAAGCTGTCTTCAGACCTCCACAGGCACGCTGTGGTGTATGAATGCCTGCTTCCCACCCCACCGACCTCATAGACGCACCAGGGAGGAAGAGGGGAGGACGTGAACGTAAAGTATTTCAGTAATTTAGAGACGTCATTTCCATGTTGAAATGATGTTTTGGGTGTATTGGCTTAAGTAAAATGTGTTACCAAAAATAATTTCACCTGTTGCTTATTAGGCTTTAATGTGGCTGCTTGAAAATGCAAATTTGCAAATGGTATTATATTTCTTTCTGCTAGGAAGATGTGATTGAGAATGCCATTCTAGTTATCACACGATTATTGCCCGAATTAGGGTAATACTTACGAAAAGAAAGTAAGAAGTTTTTAAGGGATTACTCGTATATATTGTAAAATTGCTGTTTACAAGATTGTGTGCTTCCAATATAGCTTATAATAATAATAAGCTTTTGAAGGCAAGGAACATATTGCTTTGTTTTCATTCTGCATATGTTTATCCTTGACTAGATTCATAGGAAGTTGGCTGAACAAACAAAAATTAATAAGACAGTATGCATTTCATAAAGTTGTTTAAATTTTTAGGATATAGATCAATAAGTTCTTATGCCCTATAATTTAACATTAAAGTATTGCTAACTATCCATGTTCTTCTTAAAATGTAGAAGGTTAAGGAAACTAGTATCTAGTCTTACTGTAGCTCTGTGAAGTCATTTTCCTTTTTTTTTTTTTCTTTTTTGGTTTTACGAGACAGGGTTTCTCTGTATTATTTTGGAGGCTGTTGGTCCAGCCCGGCCTCGAACTCAAAGAGATCCGCCTGCCTCTGCCTCCCGAGTGCTGGGATTAAAGGCATGCGCCACCACCGCCCGGCTCCTTTTTTTTTTAAGTGAGAAGTTTTATTAGAAAGGGAAGGGATGGGGAAAAGATAAAGAGACAGAGAGGACAGAAGAGAAGAGGCAGACAGGAAAAGTCTGTGTGTCCAGGGGAACAGCAGGAAAGAGAGAGTGGAAAGAGCTCTGTGTAGTTATTTTCCGTGTTCATTTAATTCATATGATAATCCCGTGAAGATGGTGTCCACCACCATCCCTCAGATTTGGAAGTTTGTTAACAATAACTTTCCAGTCTATTTATCCGCTCCAATAAATTTTATGTAGTTTGAATCAGTCCTGTATTGTGGTTGACATAAAATCAGTGAAAAATAATCATTGAAATTAAATGTGCAGTGATAAATTTTGATCTGTATTGTATGCTCAGTGAAGAAAATGTAGAAATGTGTCCTAAAACTGAGGGAAAAAATGACAATTTTTTTCTAGTTATCAGGATTTTTGTGTGTATGGTGTTTTGTTTTTTGTCTATTTTGGGGGATCAGATGTTACTGTCTGCCCTTGGCTACTCTGTCCTGCCTCTGTCTCCCTCTATGCTGGAATCAAAGGCGTGTATAACTACACTGTGCTGTCTCGTGTATTATTCTTCTAGAAATTAAACTTAAAGTTCATGGAGAAAAAAGATTTTAACAGTTTTAAATTTTTTTGTCTTTTCAGATAAAATCAAAGACAAAATTAAAGAGAAAGACAAAGAAAAAGAGAGAGAAAAAAAGAAGCATAAAGTAATGAGTGAGATCAAGAAAGAAAATGGAGATGTAAAGATTTTGCTGAAAAGTGAGTTTCTATTCAGTGAGTGTTTTCTGCATTTTATAATGTTCAGTCTAAGTAGCCAACCTATTAAAATAAGAAGTGTTATTTGCTACTGAATTTTGCTAAGAATAGGACCGCTGTAAAAAATGAAGAGTAAAATCTACTTACACTTGAAGTCTGGGTAGTGACCTGCTTTGGTATATGTATTCAGTGAGTTACTATATCTAGTGTTAGGGACTCGAAGTCTACATGGTGACCTGCTTTGGTATACGTATTTAATGAATTATTAAAGCCTTTATGGCTAAGCTTCACTAAACAGATAACGATTTTAAAAATAAGTTGTATAATTTGGTGTATGTATTGTAGTTTGTAATCATATTTATATAGTTTGAAATGGTGACAGAAATGCTTTTTTTTAACAGAAATTAGAGCACAATCACTCCTCATAGAACAGGGCTGAGAGGAACATGTCACTCTGAACTAAATCAGAAGGGGTGTTACTTTATTATGCTTGCTTGCTTAAGAGTATCTTGATTTTTGTTGTTTTGTTTTTTCTTTTCTTTTCAAGACAGGGTTTCTTTATGTAGTCCTGACTGTTCTGGCACTCACTCTGTGGACCAGGCTGGCCTCGAACTCACAGAGATCCATCTACTGCTGTCTCCTGAATGCAGGGATTAAAGGCCTGCTCTACCACTCTTGTGCCCAAGAGTTCCTTTTTGGTCTTTAAAAAACAAAACAAAACAAAAAAACCCCAAATGTCCCCTTTATTTCTTGTTTCTCTGTTAAAACTATGTTCACTTATTGTTTATACACGGGGAACGGTAGGGCAGTAACAAAATAAATCCTAATCAAAAATCAGAACTGTGCTACAATATAGAGATAAGAACAGTCTAAATTCACTTAGTAGTAAAGAATGAATCAGTGACATTCTTTTGTTAGGCAGCTGGGAAGGCATTTGCTATTCTGTTAGATTGACAGTTGTTGGTTAGAACCCCTTGACTTCCACTAATTTCAGATTGAATGTAGGTGTCGATAAACATTTTTATCCACGAGGGTAGAAAACACTGCAATATTGGATATGAAACATAGTAATTAATTATGATAAATATGGACTCTGAATTTTCATATCATTGTCATATTTACAAATATTCTTTGTTTCTTTATATAATGAACCTTTCTACAAGTCAGAATTTTATATTCGGGGGTTTGTTTATTTTATGTATGTAGTGATCAGGAATCCTCCAGGTCCTGAGAACTGGAGTTAGAGGTGGTTGTGAGCTACTCAGTGTGGTGCTAAGAACTGAGCCTGGGTCTTCCAGAAGATGGCAAGTGTTCTTCATCGCTGAGCCAGCTCTCCAGCCCCAGGTTTTCTTTGCACTTTAAAAGAAATATAGCCCTGGTTAGGAGATTTTAGTTTTGTTTTGAGACAGGGCCTCATTATGTAGCCTAGGCTGGCCTGGAGCATGCTGTGTAGACAGACTGGCCTCAAAGTCACATGGATCCTCCTCCTTCTGCATTTGGAGTCCTGGGGTTTGAAGGCGTGTACTTTCATGCCTGGCTATAGTTTTATCTATTATTTTTTTCAAAAAAAATGACTGTTTTGCCTGCACACATGTATGTGTTCTATGTCTGTGCCTGGTGCTGGTGGATACCAGCACAAAGGTCAGATCCCCTGACACTGGAGTCACAGGAAGGAGGCTGTGAACACCCATGTGGTGCTGGGAACTGAACTCCAGTCCTCTGCAAGAGCAGCCAGAGCTCTTAACCCCTGAGCCGTCTCTCCAGTGTCCAGGGTTGACCTCAGACAGGAAGTGCAGAGATGACCCTGCACTTGTGACTTGCTTGCCTCTGCGTCTCAAGTGCAAGGGTGGCAGGTGTGCCCCACACCCCGTGGGTGTGGTCCCAGGGAATGGCCCATCCCTGCTCTCGTGTTTTCACTGCTGTGGAGTTAGACTGTAAGCCTTTGGGGCGGGACTTGAATACACAGTTATGCTGCCAAGCAGCTAGTGAGTAATGCAGCAAATGTTTACTTAACTGCACCCTATTGGTTTAGCCAAATAGTTGTTTCGTTCCTTATTTGAATGTGCAGTGATACATAATCTGTGACCTCAGAACATTTAAACTCATATAGTCTTCATTTGTGCTTAGGTCCCTAGAGACCATATACATGGAAATATCCTGTTGAACTGAGAATTTTCTAGGACTATGCAGTATTTATCTTGAATAGATGGGGAATTTAGATTTTGAAGTGAGTAAAGGAGAAACTAGTGATGAAAAGAAATAAAAAGGATGAAGTAGGTTTGGAAATTAGTTTGTAGCCTTTAGGATGACTAGGAAATTTTAAGGAAATGATTACTATATAGAGGAGGTAAGTAATAATTTATACTGCTGTGAAGATTAATTATGTAAGTAAAAGTGTGGAATGTCAGATTCACTCAAAAGTAGATAGGAATCTTGGAAACATCTTCAGAAGAGTAATTTTTGGGATTAAAAAGCAACAAAACCAACACTCTCTGTCCTCAATATGTAGTATATAGGTAATCACACTAGTAAAAGCATGATTCATTTGGAATGGGAATTCATGTGTTGACTTTTACTTCCAGCAAAACCAATCTGTGGCGTTGTGTGGAGATGGTCAGAGTAGACTCATCTGTTGTTGATGTGGAGCAACAGAACGGTCAACCTGCTAGAGGCGGTATACTCAGTTTTCAGTGTGCCACACTCAGGGTTGTCCCCCTCCACCCACGCTTGTGCCACCCCACAAATCCATGCAGTATCTAAAACCTGATTGCTTCCTGAAGACCATAGACTGAAAATCAGCAAACTATTACTGCTTGTTTTCTCTGTGTGGTAATAGAGTGGAATGTTAAAGAGAAGCTTTTTCCTTGCTAGCTGCTTTGGTTTATCACCCACCAGTCGCCTGGGCTCTGCCGCAATGTAGTCCCCAAATAACACACAAGACGCTGTATTAATTATGAAGCTGTTGGCCTTGCTTGTTTCTTACTGGCTAGCTCTGACTTAAGTAATTACCCCATAACTGCCAATCTGCCTCTGGAGTAAATCCTACCGGTGTGCGTCACAACGCTGGCTTTTGTATTTATTTACCACTTTGCCATTTCATTTTCTCTCTCAATCTCACGTATATTTTTAAACACACTGTAAACCTTTAGAGGTTTGTTCATCCAAGTCTGACTTTACTGTAAATATTTACGTTTTTCTGGCCACGTGTCTTATCTGTTAAAACCGCGGCTGTTTTAAACTGCCTTTTTTTTTTTTCAAGATGGCGGGCGTAAGCGTGACTACAGCTTACCGCCTCAGTCCATGCTGACATCCAGCAAATGCTGCCACTTCCAGCTGTACGTACACACCTTTCGATCGTTAGCAGAGTCTCTTAAAACAACCTTGCTGGCTGGTTTTTTTTTTTTCTTTTTTATGCCGAGTCAGGAAGACTCCCGTAAGCGAACCGCGTGAATCTCGGCTCGTCGCTAGCAAAACAGAGCCCACCTGAGAAAAATGCTGCTACCAAAAATCTGTGCTTCTCTCCGTTCTTCTGTTTCTAAAATTCCTTTAAATCTTTTGTTACTTTGCGTGGAAATTCAATCCTGCTCCTGACAACCATTCTGTTAAAGAGAAGCTTTTTCCTTGCTAGCCGCTTTGGTTTATCACCCGCCAGTCGCCTGGGCTCTGCCGCATTGTAGTCCCCAAATAAACACACAGGAGGCTATATTAATTATGAAGCTGTTGGCCTTGCTTGTTTCTTACTGGCTAGCTCTGACTTAAGTAATTACCCCATAATTGTTAATCTAAGTATTTCTCTTACCGGAGAATGATTCCAGGCTTCCTACCCCCATGGCATTACATCTTGACTCTCTGTGTTTCTCCTTCCCAGAATCCTCCTCGACTCCTAGTCCCTCCTATCTAGGTTTCCTATTGGCTCAACAGTACTTTATTGACAAATGCACAGGACTTCCCCCAACAGTGGAATGTCTTATTTCCTGTACTAGATATGAAAGAAGATCCAGCTTTCTGTGTAAATTTTTTCTTTTTTACTTTGTTAGCATGAAAGATATACCAAAGTTAGTGATAGAAATTAGTATCAGAAGCTGGACGTTAGCGGTGCATGCCTTTAATCCCAGCACTCGGGAGGCAGAGGCAGATGGATCTCTGTGAGTTCGAGGCCAGCCTGGACTACCGAGCCAGTTCTAGGACAGGCTCCAAAACAATACAGAGAAACTCTGTCTCGAAAAACCAAAAAAAAAAAAAAAAAAAAAAAAAAGAAGGAAAAAAAAAAGAAATTAGTATCAGGGAACACTTACTAATTTTATTTTATTCTCTCCCCCCCTCCCCAGAGTATCTTTGTGTAGCCCTGATTGTCCCGGAACTCATTTTGTAGCCCAGGCTGGCCTCGAACTCAGAACTCTGCCTGCCTCCACCTCCTAAGTGCTGGGATCAAAGGCATGTGCCACCACTGCCAGACTGCTGGTCCAAGATCGGTATCCTTTGCTTCAGGGCTCCTGAGTTACTACGGTCACATGTCCGCCGCCTGGTCTGCTCTATGTGCTTTCAATGCGCCTGTTTCTTCCTTTCTTGTCCTTGCGGGTGTCCCTTTATCTTGTTGAGCGTGCATCTGAGTTCTCCTGTTCCTGCTTCTTTTGCCTGCAGTTTGGCACCCCCACTTGGACCCCTAGGTCTTCGTGTGTGGAGTCCTTGTCTGTCTGTGTGGAGTTTCCCAGCCCAGTCTGCGTCCTGCCTGTGCTGAGCTCCAGCGCCCTCCTCCTACTTTGCCTCCTACATAATTTGAGAGTTGTCTGTGTTCCTTAGACAGCAGTTCTGTTTCTGTTCTAAGTTTATCTCAAAGACTTTTATATACATCAGAGTCATTGGGTTTTCTTAGAATTACAGGCTTAGAGTAATGTGAACTTCTGCTATTTTTTACTGTAAGACACAAGTATTGATGTTCAAAATGATATTTTCTTAACGTACTTTGAGATTTTCTACATAGGAATCTAATGAATTGCATATGAAGAAAGGGGGGTTTCTTCTGTTCTTCGGGGGTTCCAAGCCCCCACTCCTGTTCTGTGAAGAGGAGGGAAGACTCAAGGGCCCAGCACAATAGTTGTTCTTGTGTCATGATTTACTATTATGAAAGATATAAAGGAAAATATGTGTAGAGGCTGAAGAGCATAGGATACTATCAGGGTGGGGGGGCGTTCTCTCTAAGTGGATCCCCATAGGACAAGCCTAATTCAGTAAGTTGTGACACCATGCATAGAATGTGTGCTGGGAAGCTCATGAGTGACTCAGGGTTCACCACCATCTGCCTGCTGTGGACCAGACAAAAGGAAAATAGTACTCAGCATACAGAATATTATTTGTACAAATGAGAACAGTAAAGCACACAGTAGGAACCCTTCAGAATTGAAAGTTTGCAAACGCCAGGCAAGGGCCAGCCTCTCTAGCAGTCTTAGGCATATCATCTCTGCACACTGTAATAGTTAATTACAAAGTAATTTTCCAGCATTATTTAGCTCCTTGATGCCCAACTTAAGAGTCTCCTATTCATGTATTAGTTTTCATTTTTAGATTGCTGACTGTTGTAATATTTTTTTTGGTTCATCCTGAACACTAGGGAGTAGACTAAATGTTGTCTGTTCTATTTCAAAGTAATGTGGTTGGTTACAGGGTATTTCCTATTTTAACACAAAAACATGTTAAGGGTGAGTTTAATTAAATTTAGGTTTTGTTTATCCCAAAATGGTCTAATTTGTACAGTTTACATGCACTTTCCATTATGGGGTTTGAGACTGCTATTAATACCTATGCCGGAACTGGGCAGTGGTGGCACCACCCAAGCCTTTAATTCCCATACTCCAGAGGCAGAGGTAGGTAGATCTCTGAGTTCCAGGACAGCCATGAATATACAGAGAAACTCTGTCTCGAAAAACCAAAGCAAAGCAAAGCAAAAAACAACCAACCAACCAACCAAATCAGCAACCTTTAAATTATATTTTTTAATCTCTTTGATAGGCTTTTTTCTTATTTTATTGGATTTTGCTTAAAACTTCTTTGCTCTTTCATTTGGTTACTCTGCTCTTTTACTCTTTATTTTTTTTGAATAATTAATTTTTGAGACAGTATCTCATGTATCCCAGGTTAGCCTAGAACTTAATATGTAGCCAAGGATGACCTTGAATTTCCAGGTCCTTCCACCTCTACCTCGGAGGTCAGGGGCTACCATACCTAGTTTTATGTGGTGCTGGAATTGGTACAGGTGCGTCTTGCATTCAACAGAAGCATTGCACCACTGAGCAACATACATGCGTAGTCCCTAGTTTTTGTTTTTAAGATGCTCACCTGAATTTGTTTTCTCACCCTTTCTAATGTTGCAACCCTTTAATACAGTTCCTCATGTTGTGGTGATTCCCCAACCATAAAATTATTCCATTGCTACTTCATAACTGTAGTTTTGCTAGTTATTCATTATACATATCTGCTATGCAGGATGTTGATGGGCTGTGACCCACAGGATGGGAACCACAGACTTAGATGGCAAACTTGATCGTTGGAGCCTGCATGGAAAGAAAGAGCTGACTCCTGAGGGTTGTCCTCTGACTGTAACATGCATTGCAGGCTTGTGCACACACACTAAAAAGTAAAAGAGTGTTGAATAAAGGAGACACACCAGGTGGAGGTGGTTCTTTTTGAGATTCAAGCCTTGGGAATTGGCCGGAGAAATTTCATTTTAAAGATGAAAACTAAAATGAGAGACGCATGAACACGGAACATTTCCTGTAAAGGAAGCGTTGTGAGGGCTGGGAATGTGGCTCAGGCGATGATGTACACCCTACTATGCCGAAGCCCTGGGTTTTGTCTGGCACTCACTGCATGATGCTGGAGGTGGTGGGCATGCCTCTAATCCCAGAACTTAGGAAAGGAGGAAGAGGAGGAGTTCAGGGCTGTACTGAACTTATTTGAGATTCATCTCAGAAATGCACACCCACTCCCCCAGAATAGGCAGGTGGGATAATTTTATTTGTGGACTATCGTAAGGACAGAGTGACAAAGTTGAGTGTGATGGCTCAGGCCTCAGCACTATAGTCCCGATACACTAAGTCAGGAGGCCATCGTGAGTCACTGTCATCAAAACAACCAAAATACCTGGAAAAGAGGGCTGGAGAGATGAATCATGGTTAAGAGTACTGGCTGTGTAACGCACATTCTTCCGCCAGCTTTAGGGTTCTGTTGCCGCTTTAGCCCCCAAATAGCACAAGACACTATATTAATTAGGAAGCTGTCGGCCATTTGCTATGGTTTCTAATCGGCTAGCTCTGGCTTAATTATTAACCCGTAAGTACTAATATATATTTTTATAAGGACTCATGGGTCCTCTTCCCATGGTCACATGGCAGCAACTCTCTTCACTACATTTCCCAGAATCCTCCTAGACTCCTATTGGCCAACAGTGCTTTATTTACATCTACACAGAAGGACTTACCCCATCACTGGCTGCTCTTTGAGAGGACCCGGGATTAATGCGCAGTACCCTGGATGGAGCCCCACTTTTGTCTGTAGTTCAGGGTCTAGGGCATCTGGCCCCCAAGGGCTCTGGGCATACATGTGGTACACAGACATACTCAGCAACCCTCCCAGCAAAACCAAAAGGAGGTAGCAGAAGCAATGTCTTCTTTTCTGAGTTGTTACCTTGTTGTCCTTTCATATTTATCTTAGGAAACTATTTTTTGAAACACATATTTTCATAGTCTGCTTACTTCTTTATAAGAAAAATAGAAAAGTAAATGGTGTATGTGTTTTTGTGTACACAGGTTTTCTGATTAAATAGCCTGTGTGAATTAGATTAGTTTTGTTTTTGTTGTTGTTTTTTCTGAGACAGGGTTCTTTGTGTAGCTTTGGAGCCTGTCCTGGCACTGACTCTGTAGTCGATTCGTTTTTTATTCCTGGGATTTTGACCCAGGGTCTGCTGGGAAACTCTTCAGTACATAAGCATAAAGTCCTTCTACTCTCAGTAGAACACAGTTAGTGTATGAGAGAGGGTTCTAATTTTGCCATCTCCTGTAGGCTGCTTGCTGGGTCTTGAGTTGGAATTGTGAGCTGTGATGGCTCCAGTAGACGTGAGTGTAGCTTATGTGCTGTGTGCTGTGTGCTGTGTGCTGTGAGCTGTGAGCTGTGAGCTGTGAGCTGTGTGCTGTGCTCTGACACTTGCTCCGCTGTGTGATGCTTCTGACTTTGTGATGTGTAAGTCTCCCTGGCATCTGGAGGCCTGCCCTCCCTCCCTCCCTCCCCCCTGCCTCCCCCTCCCCCTTTTTTATCATGAGACAGGGATTTTGAGGTTGTTTTGATTTTTCAGACAGGGTTTCTCTGTGTATCCCTGCCTGTAGACCAGGCTGGCCTCGAACTCACAGAGATCCGCCTGCCTCTGCCTCCCCAGTGCTGGGATTAAAGGCATGCACCATCACAGCCTGGCTGGATTTCATTTTTGAGAAACCTCAGATAAAGTAAACTTTACAATATATCCATGAAACCGTCAGAAGGGTATTGCTCACATTTATTTCTGAGCTTCTACTTTTTACATTTGAGACTGCGTGCTCTGAACTTTGGCTCAGTCATTACTCGGGTGAGTACTGAGCACCTCTTCTGTCTCTTTAGCCTGCTGTCCATGTGTATGTAAAAGCAGAGAATAGACGAGAGAGAAGGAAAGACAAATTTTGAATAAAAGTGAATTCAGAGATTTGTCAGAAGTGTTAGAAGTAAACTTACCTATGACAAAACAGTTCCTAAAAGCATTTTTTTGTTTAGTAATTAAAATATGGAGTTTCAAAAGAAATTTGTCCCAACAGGTGGGAAGGAGAAACCAAAAGCAAATATAGAAGACTTACAGATTAAAAAAGTAAAGAAGAAAAAGAAAAAGAAACACAAAGAGAATGAGAAACGGAAGCGTCCAAAAATGTATAGCAAATCTATTCAGACCGTCTGTTCAGGGTTGCTGTCTGACGCTGAAGATCAAGAAGCCAAAGGCATCTTAAATGATAACATAAAGGATCGCATTGGAAAACCTTTGGATGGCAAGAACTGTGGTTCTAAAATCCCTGACAACGGGGACTTCCCGTTTGTCTCATTGAAGGAAGCACGCGTTGAGAGCAACCTTAAGAGGTTGGATACCTTGGAGTTCAAGCGGCTCATTCATGCCGAGCACCAGCCCAATGGAGGTGCGTCTGTCATTCATGCCTACAGTGACGAGCTCGCCTGCCTGTCTCCTGTGGAGATGCAGAGGTTTGCAGAAGAATTCCTGGGCATAGTGTTCAGTGAAAACGAAAGTGCTGCGGCTTTCTATGTAATGGGTATTGTTCATGGGGCAGCTACTTACTTACCTGACTTTTTAGACTACTTTTCCTATAATTTTCCCAATTCACCAGTGAAAATGGAGATATTGGGAAAGAAAGATATAGAGACGACGACTATGTCCAATTTTCATGCTCAGGTAAGAGGTTTTTAGTTTTTTTTTTTAAATAGCTCTTAATTGTACATTGTAGATAGACTTGTGATTTTCCTCCTAATCTTACTGTAAGTTTGAGGTAAAAAAGGTAAGACGAGCACAGTGAAACTTTTTGGGAGTAACTTCTTGACATGAATTTATAACTTTAAATTTCAATTTCTGCTTTTATTTGACTTAAAAATCAGTTACTGAACTACTTAATATTATGAGTCTGTCCCCTGTCCCTCCATCCCCTTTTTCTTTGGACGAGGATTTCACTTGGATCAAGTAAAATTAATTTAACTAGGTATTTTCCAGTCCTTAAAATAGTACCTTTTAACTCTGTAAATCATCTACAGCTGTCTTCTTTGTAATGCCCTGTAAGTGCTTAGCACTGGGCCCATCAAGTTAGTAGGTGCTAAATACACACTGACTAGTATAAAATATATTGTAATATGGAGTAGTTACTACTTAGTATGTAACTATGTGAAAACATTAGTACATTCTAGCCTTTCTTTCTGTTGCTGTGAAGAGACACCATCACCAAGGCGACACATACAAGGAAGCGTTGAATTGGATGTTGCTAGTCCATGATCATCATGATGGGAATGGGTGGCAGGCATCCAGGCAGGCATGGCCTGAAACAGTCGCTGAGAGTTTGCATCTGACCCACAAACAGAGACAAAGAGACAGGGACTGGCTTGAGCTTTTGAAACCTCAAAGTAACCCCTCCCCCAAAGTAACACCCCCTTCCTGAGTAGTCTGCCCACTGGGAGATTGTGACACTTTTGAGCTACAGGGCCACTCTCATTCACACCACCACAGTATTTTGAGCTGACTTTCATTTCCGCCTCTTTTCTGCAGAACATTATTTTAGAAACTAGAGACAAAATTGAGTTTGCGGTTTTTTAAAAGTTAATGTGTATCTATCTAAAGGCCAGTGCCTTTGTCACTGAACCAAAGGTGAGTGAAAGTTTAGACTATAGCCAGTTGACTATAGCTGTTTTTTAAATGTGTTTATTTTTATTTTATGTGCATTGGTGTCTTGCCTGCATGTGTGTCTGTGTGAGAGTATCGGATGTTCTGGAACAGGAATTACAGCTGTGAGCTGCCATGTGGGTGCTGGGAATTGAACTCAGGTCCGTTGAAAGAGCAGCCTGTACTCTTAACTGCTGCCCCTGACTCTAGTTTTTTTTCTTCTGGGGGTAGCAGTGACTGATGTAACATTCTGGTGTATGGGATGGACATAGTAGTCTCTGGGAGCTCTTTCTCTACTGAAGGGCTTTTGAGGTTGTCAGCACTACTAGGAGCAGAACAAAGTCTCACCCTCATCCTGGGCTTGCCCTTTGCTCTAGTATTTTCTTTCAGTTGATGTTCCCAATAGCATGTTTGGTGTGCATTCTGCTGCATACAGTATACTGGAAAATAGGACAGTATTTACATTTTAAAATGTATGTATGAGGGTTATTCCCTAATGCAGTATGTTTGAGAACTGGAATTTAAATATTTTTAGAATGGAAAGGAAACAATAGAGCATTCATTACTAGTCAACTCATTTTATAGAATTCCAGATGGTTGACTTGTCTGAGTTACTGGGTTTAGTGGCTGAGTCAGGACTGACATCTAGTTAGTGTACCATTTATTGAGTAGTAACTGTTCCATGTCCTATGTAAGCATTTTATATGCAATAAGTTGTACTAAAGCTAGCTTTTATTTACGCTTTAAAGTAGTTAACTATTGGACTACTTTAATGTATTTTTAACAGTGAAGAAACATGCAGTAAATTACGAATAAATACTCCAACCCTGAGGGACTTTCAACAGTGGGTTAAGTATTGAGAAATGAAATGGTAGAACAAGAAAAGAAAGTCCTGTAGTGCTAGATCACTCTTTTTTTTTGGTCACTTACTGTATGTAAGTGACTTATTGTTGCTTAGTGTGCTAAATGACACGTTTTATACTATGTTTCTTAGACTTCAAACCAAGTAGTTTGTACAATATCACAAATACTCTTGTCATACCATGCAAGAGTGTTTTAGTGGGCTGGAGAGATGGCTCAGAGGTTAAGAGCACTGACTGTTCTTCCAGAGGCCCCGAGTTCAATTTCCAGTGACCACATGGTGGCTCACAACCACCTTGAATGAGATCTGGTGCCCTCTACTGGCATGCAGACAGAAGACTATATCTACACAATAAATAAATAAAATATTTTTAGCTGGGCGGTGGTGGCGCATGCCTTTAATCCCAGCACTCGGGAGGCCGAGGCAGGCGGATCTCTGTGAGTTCGAGGCCGGGCTGGACCGATAGCCTCCAAAACAATACAGAGAAACCCTGTCTCTTAAAAAAAAAAAAAGAGTGTTTCAGCAAAATTTAATGTGATAAACACAATTGGGTATTAATGGTGATGTTTTTTAAGTGAACTTTAAAAATGAGTTTAGGGCTTATAGCAAATGATGGACTTCTTACTTTATGGCTGGAGGATGGCCAGTGAGCCTGGCTGCCTGAGGTTGCTCCCTTGGACACACCTGGCGGAAGGTCAGAGCCCACTTGTCCAGGTTTTCGCTGACTCCCTGTGCCTCCCCCAGTACATACGGAAAGAGTAGCAAAGAACAGTAATAGTTACAAGACGAAGCTTAGCTCTTAAGTAAAGTGAGGTGCCAAGCGTGTTAGAGGGTCCCGGGTATGGACCCCAGGTCCTGAAGGAGCGGCTGAGCTTGCTTGCTGCTGTCTTTTCAGTCTTCTTGAGGCACACTCTAGAGGGAACCCCAGGAAAAGGCTGCTTCTCGGTGGCTGGCTGTGGCTCTGGCCCCCAGGCCTTTGTCATCAGCTTGTCATCTACAAGGACTCCTTTTGATTCTTAGGAAACTGCAAAGTCCACATTCCTTTATAAGGTCCTCTTTTGTTTAGCGTGGAGCAAGAACTTATAATGAACTCTCATTTATGTTTTTCTCACATTGGAACCTTTTCTTTTTTCAATTAATTAATTTAAAAATTAATTAATTTTTTAATTAAAATTTTTTTTGGAGACAGTTTCTCTGCATAGCCCTGACTGTCCTGGAACCAGGCGAGCCTGAACTCACAGGGATCTTGCCTGCCTTTGCCTCCCAAATGCTGCGATTAAAGACCTGTGTCACCACACCCAGCTGGATTCTTTCATTTATTTTATTAAATTTTCTTTTATTGAGAGATTAGTAAAAATCAAAACAAAGAGATCAAATAGACAAAAAAAAAAAAAAGCCTAGATGACTGAGCCTATGTCTTCAGGGTAGTATTAGCTTTGGGCTTGTCCTTAAGCAAGGGTTAATGAAACTGGACTCTGAAGGCTCACTCACACAGGAGAGCAAGATCACACTTAGATCAGTTCTTTCTGATCTCTTGCTCTTCCAGGGAAAGCTGCTCTCTGGTTGTTTTTGAAGTAGGAGCTCCTGAAGCCCAGGGTGGCCTAGTCGCTGACATAGCTGGGGCTGGAGTGGAGGTCCTGATCCTCCTGCCCCTACCTCCTAATTGCTGGAGCCTCAGGTGTATAGCACATTGAGTTTTAAAGGCTGTGTCTCTTAACCTGCTTCCTTCCAGCACTTGGTCCTTCTTCCCATAAATCTTACAGAATGATACTGTGTACACAGAAAAATGTATCATTAGAGATGAATACTCAGAAAGATGAATGAACCCCTTGAGTTCAGAGCTGAAAGAAACTAGTGGTCTTTCTCAAAGCATTCTTTTTTTTTTTCTTTTTTTATGCTGTCACTCTTTATTTTTTTTAACTTTTTTAAAAATTTAAATTATAAATGAGCTTGCTTCACATGTCAATCCCAGCTCCCTCTCCCTCCCCTCCTCCCCCACCCCCCCACCAGCCTCCCCAGCCTCCCACCCAATCCCCACTCTGATTCCCAGGGAGGTTGAGGCCCTCCATGGAGGATCTCCAGAGTCTGTCATTTCATCCAGGGCAGGGCCTAGGCCCTCCCCCAAGAGTTCAGGCTGAGAGAGCCTCCCAAATTGTGGGATGGGCACCCAAAGTCCATTTGTATGCCAGGGATAAATACTATTCAAGGCCCCATAGATTGCCGAGGCCTCCTCACTGACACCCACATTCAGGGGGACTGGGTCAGTCCCATGTTGTCCTCCCAGCCATCAGTCTGGGATTCAAGAGCTCCCCCCTTGTTCAGGTCAGCTGTTTCTGTGGGTTAAACCAGCCCAGTCTTGGCCGGGCGGTGGTGGCGCACACCTTTAATTCCAGCACTCGGGAGGCAGAGGCAGGCGAATCTCTGTGAGTTCGAGGCCAGGCTGGACCGATAGCCTCCGAAACAACACAGAGAAACCCTGTCTCAAAAAACCAAAAAAAAAACAAAAAAACAAAACAAAACAAACAAACAAACAAAACCCAGCCCAGTCTTGACCACTTTGCTCATCAGCCCTCTCTTTCATCAGTCCTCTCTTTCTGTCACTGGATTCCAGGAGTTCAGTGTTTAGCTGTGGGTGTCTGCCTCTGCTTCCATCAGTCACTGGATGAAGGTTCTGTTTCCCAGACTCTCTGGCAGTGGGATTGTATGCTGACACTCCCCTGATTCATGTCTAAAATCTATATATGAGTGAGTATATACCATGTTTGTCTTTTTGTGACTGGATTACCTCACTCAGGATGGTTTCTTCTAGTGCCATCCATTTTGCCTGCAAATTTCAAGATTCCATTGTTTTTTTCTGCTGAATAGTACTCCATTGTGTAAATGTACCACATTTTCTCTAGCTGCTCTTCAGTTGAGGGGCATCTAGGTTGCTTCCAGGTTCTGGCTATTACAAATAATGCTGCTGTGAACATAGTAGAACAGACATCCTTGTTGTATGAATGGACATCTTTTGGATATATGCCTGAGAGTGGAATTGCTGGGTCTTGTGGTAGACTGATGTCCATTTTCCTGAGGAATCTCCATACTGATTTCCAAATTGGCTGTACGAGTTGGCACTCCCACCAGCAGTGTAGGAGTATTCCCCTTTCTCTACATCCTCTCCAGC